CTGGCCAGTGTGCGCGACGATCGTTTCAGGGAAAGTGACGGTCATTCAAAGGAAAACGACGACGATGACGACATTGAGGAGGAGAAGGTCGACCCACTTTCTGGTGACGGCGGTGACTACAGCGCCTCTGCTATCGTCATTTACTTTGTCTCCACGATGTCATTTCTTCTTCCTCTCTTCCTATCTTTGATCGGCGGCGACGGATTGGAAACCTTTGTAGCTAATAGTGACTGGATTTTTTTCGATGTTTGTTTCTATTTCTTGTTTGTTAGCTAATTGTCACAGGAAAAGGAGAGCTTGTTTCTATTTCTTGACGGACGGCGAGATGATTGTGAGTGAGGATTTGGTGATGGTGGTGGTGGCGGCAGAAGGTGTGGGGAACTTGGGAGAGATGAAAGAAGGGAATTTGGCGGAGGGGAGAGATCGAGAGAGGTAGGGAAGATGGAAGAAATACATTTTTTATTTTCCTTCTTTTCTTTTGATTTTCTTTATTTTTTATAATTAATTTTTATGAAAATTTTCCACATCAGCTGTCAGGTCAGTGGTGACTGTGTTTTCTGTTAACTACTAACAGAAAACTTAACGGAGAAGGTCGACCCACTTTCTGGTGACGACGGCGACTACAGCGCCTCTGCTATCGCCATTTACTTTGTCTCCACGACGTCATTTCTTCTTCCTCTCTTCCTTTCTTTGATCGGCGGCGGCGGATTGGAAACCCTTGTAGCTAATAGCGACTGGATTTTTTTCGATGTTTGTTTCTATTTCTTGTTTGTCAGCTAATTGTCACAAGAAAATGAGAGTTTGTTTCTATTTCTTGACGGACGGCGAGACGATTGGGAGTGAGGATTTGGTGATGGTGATGATGGTGGTGGCGGCAGAAGGTGTGGGAAAGTTGGGGGAGATGGAAGAAGGGAATTTGGCGGAGGGGAGAGATCGAGAGAGGTAGGGAAGATGGAAGAAATATGTTTTTTATTTTCCTTCTTTTCTTTTGATTTTATTTATTTTTTATAATTATTTTTTATGAAAATTTTCTACATCAGCTGTCAGGTCAGTGGTGACTGTGTTTTCTGTTAACTACTAACAGAAAACTTAACGGATGGTATACAATTGTCATATCGAAAGTTACGTAATAACACTTTTGGGGTAAATTGCAGGTTCGGTCATTGAGTTCACTAAAAAGTGTCATGTTTAGTCACTAAAAATATTTAATTCCAATGTTGGTCACTTGAATTAATCAAACAGTCGACGTTTGGTCACTCTTCGTTAGTCTCCGTCCAATTCCGTTAACTGAATTCGTTATGTGCTGATGTGGCAAACAGAGTGGCCTAATCAGCAATTTTTTGCCCTAAAAAATTGAAATCCGACCCACCACGTCAGCAAAACTCGCCACATCAGTTTCCCCAACCCAACTCTTGACCCAACCCGACTTTTTCCGACCCGTGACCCGATTTCTCTCCATACAGTTTCCACCTCAGCCTTTTTTATCTCCGCCTTCCTCCATCGTTTCCACCATTGAAGAGACTGCCGAGAGATTCCGGACACCGTCGAAACGAGAGGCTGGTTGAAGAGTTGAACGGAATCTAGAGGCGGATTCAATTGGAGAAGAAAATGCAATGAGGGAGGAGTCAGCAGCCGATCGAAAGTTTCCTCTCACCCACCATTTCGCCAACCCTGCACCACCTTATTCTTCGTGAGACATAACCTAATCATTTGCGGCACCCGCCGAGCCCATCCCAACGTCACTCTTCTTGTACCGTCTCCCTTTATCTCGCCCGCTACAATTAATTTCCCATTCTCTGATCTTTATCTTCTTCTTACTTCTCTCCTCCGCCTCTTTCTATTTCTTTTTCGCTCTATCCCTCCATTTTCTGATTCAATGAAGTTTTGATTCCCAGATAAAATTGAATGGGCAAAAGGGGCGTTGAAACAAGGGTGTTATTTTGAAGATTAAAAATTGATTCCTTTAGTGTGGGAGAAGTAGAGAGCCTCATTTGGGTTTCACCACAATTTCAATCAAAGAACCCAGAAGACCCTTAAAACCCTTATTTCTCATCATCGATATCAGCAAAATTGCAGATGATATCCACAAGTGTTGCCATTGCAGCAGAGACAATCGACCAGGGTATTAGGTCAATCATAGTGGGAGGTTTGGGAGAATTTAATCTAGTTGGGGAGAGCAACAGTGATGATGATTAGGGAACCAGCGAGGGCGATGAGGATGTCAGAGATGATGTTGTATCTTGACCCAGGTGATTCCTTGGGATTTGAGGAGCTCGTGCACTTTGGCGATGGGTAGCAGGTCGTTTGAGATGTGTTCGTAGTTGACTCCGACGGTTCTCGCAGAGTTCGCCGGGAGGGAGGAAAAGAGAGAAAGGAAGGAGAGGAGGATGAAGAGTTCACCGGAAAATGGCCTATTGGTTGCTGTTGGGGGAGAAGGTGGGGTGGGGAGGGTCGAGTCAGGGGTTAGGAAGGGTCGGGTTTAGGGTTGGGTTGGAGAAATTGATGTGGCGAGTTTTGCTGATGTGGAGGGTCGGATTTCAAATTTTTAGGGCAAAAAATTGCTGATTAGGCCATTTCGTTTGCCACATCAGCACATAACGGATTCAGTTAACGGAGTTGGGCGGAGAGTGACCAAACATGCACTGTTTGACTAATTCAAGTGACCAACATTGGAATTAAATATTTCTTGTGACTAAACATGACACTTTTTAGTAAACTCAATGACCAAACTTGCAATTTATCCGACGCTTTTGCTAAATGATGGTATTTCCAATGGTATTATCCCTTAGAAAAAAGAACTAGCTAGCAAATAACAAGGAACTTTCTAAAAAAAAAAAAAACAAGGAACTCTGACGGTACCTGTAGGGCGTGGGCCAGCATTCCCAATGCTTACCTTTCTTCAGTGCAACCTTGTTTTCAAAGGCTATGCACCACCCACAGGCCACAGTGTAGGCTTAAGCTGGTGCATCGTGCATGTACTTATTGTTGTTTTTCTTTCTTTTCGGCATAAAAGAATAATTAGTTTAACAAAGAATTGTCTTCCATTCATTGATGGAAAAAGGCTCGATTAAATTTAATTCAATAGAGTTAGTGAGTTATTTGTGAATTATGTGAGTTCAAACTCACAATGAGTTATTTGGATAATTATAACTGGTTTTAGAATATTTTATTTAAATGAGTCATTTGAACAGTGAGTTATTTACAAATAAGTTTTATTCGTGTTATTTCGAAATAACTTGCTTTACCCTTCTATTTTGCCAAATACCATACGTCAAATACCACATGTGCATGGTTTTATCAAACGAGATAGTTTAATCCAATGCCACTTAAATAACACTGAAATATCATATAAACAATTAATGAATTATTGGGCTCTCTCCAAATACCAAATTAACAATTATTTCATTCAAACGACATCTTCATTTCATACAAACAATATTGGAATGCATTTAAGTATGTTTACTTTAAATACAAACATTTGAAACGTATGATAATTGTTATTTCGAAATAACTTGTTTTATCCTTCTGTTTTGCTGAATATCATATGCCACATGTGCATGGTTTACCAAACGATATACTTTAATCTAACTACCACCGAAATAATACATGAACAATTAATGAGTTATTTGGCTCTACAAGTTCCAAACTGACAATTAATCCATTCAAACGATCCGTTGGTTTCATACAAACAATATTGGAATGCATTTAAATATGAGTTCTTTAAATAGAAAATTTTGAAAAATACTGATAATTCAAATTATTTTTATATTCATTTGCACATTTCATTACAGGGTCGTTTAGATGGGTTATTGTTATGACTTATGAGTTATTTAGTACCAAATAGCCCGTTTGTGTGCAAAAGGTAGTGATGAATTATTTGTACCGAGTTATTCCGAAATAACTAAAAATTGAGCTATTGAGAATACCATATGGGGGATAATTATTCTGAAATAACTCACAAATACCATATCAAAATCAATTTTTGAGTTGTTTCATATTTATAATAACTCGTTACACAATAACTCATCCAAATGACCCGAATTTCAATTTTATGAGTTTTTTTTCTCCCTTTAATCTAATTTAATTGGGTTGAAATCACATGAATCTACCTATGTATATTCCTAGGTGATGTGGTTGGAATTAGTAGGGGCCTGTCTGGAGGAAGATTCCAGGGGGAGCATCAAAACAAGAGATGTCAAGTCAGGCTGAGTAAGCAGCTGCTATAGCAAATTGCAATTAGCATTAGCACAACCTCTATTGCTTTACCTACCAGGGATGGTTAGAAAAAATGGCGAAAGCAGTGGCAAGAAAGCCCAACAATTTAGGGGGAAAGAAGAAGTTAAAAATGAAACCACAAGAGATTATGATTCAGTAGGTTGGGTCAACAATAAGTTGTTGGCTGCTGTGCGGCAAAAATCCGAAAATTATCTAATTACAAGAAAAAATTCCTATAATACATTTTTTTAATACCCAAGTTTGAAGCAATTCGCTGAACACGACAGTAAACTAATGTGCAGTTTGCTTGACACGAGAGCGATCCAGACTGGTTCATAGCTGTTCCAAATGAACTGCGCCAATCTGAAGCAGATCGTAGCTGTTTCAAGCGATTTATGCCAAACCTAAGGTTGATCACTGAACTCATCCACGAACTATTTTCTATTTACTTATGTTAAAACTTCAAACAATCATAACTTGATTGTGCAATTGTATGAATTTTTTCCGATAACTTGGAACATCCGATTTCTTCCCCTTTCTGCAATAGTTGTATTCCTCCACTCCATACTGCCACCATTGTCATAAGAGAAAACGCCAAAACTCTGACAAACGTCCGGCTCCGGCAGGGCCCCATCCTGCCTCTGAGTGTGCCCCAACTGGCCGGGCCGGGGAGAGCGGGGGCCGCCACTCGTCTCTCTCTCTCTCTCTCTCCTCTTCCATTCCACCACAATTTTATTCATCTATAAATCGTCGTCGTCGTCAGAGTACTCCTGTTTCTTATTCCACCATCGTCTGTCGCTCCTGTTCCCTTTCCTCCCTATAACAAAGGAAAAAAGTTACATCAACAGGTAACAAACAACACAACCTCTGCTCCTCCTGCATTCTTCCTTTACATCCTCTTTCTTCTTCTGCAGCAGCAGCATGCCTAGACCCAAATCAAATGTACCACTTACCTCATTTCCCTTCCAGTAATTATTGACTCCATCGGCCTTTCTGCTACTTGAGATCTCATCCATTCACAAGAAAAGGAAGGTGATTAACAACTAATCTCAATCTTTCTTACCGACACCGGTAGCAGCTCACACTTCACGGCACTACTGTAATGTTACCTCCCTTCATCTTTTTTTGTCTTTTTCCTCCGGTCCAGCAGCCTCTTTAAATTTGGCCGCTGCAGAACCCAACAACATCGCCTCCCCGCATGATTAGAGAGTCTAATCAGTCTCACATATGTCCAAACCACACTTGCTCATACACATAAATTAGTGGGGGGAGGAATTAACAAATAGTAGGCGGGATTTGGTGGGTTCTTTCTTTTACGTCAACATCCAAATCAAGTACTTAACAAGACAATTAATTAATTAATCACTTCCCTCCCTCTCCCTCCCCACTTTCTGCCCTAATCTCCCTATTTTGCCAATTCCTGCATCATCCATGTTAATTAGGGTTCATTAGTTCCTAGCCTCATCCCTAATCAAGAGCTGCAACCCAGATCCAGACAACCGTTGCAGATCCGGGTCCTGACCCGCTTCTCTCTCTCTCTCTCCCTCATTTGTTCAAAACCATGAGAGAGAGGGGCGAGGGAATCGGAGACCCACCCGCCCACACGGCGGAAGCAGCTCCCCCAAGATCAAGAAGAGATCCAACCGCCGATCCGGAACCATCAGCCGCACCCAATTACAACGAGGAGGAGGAGGAGGAGCAATACTCCAGATCCAGATCCCCACCCGCAGCTCCAATGCCAGCTGTCAGATACAGGGAATGTATGCGGAACCACGCCGCCTCCTCCGGCAGGCACGTGGTCGACGGATGCGGCGAGTTCATGCCCGCCGGCGAAGAAGGCACTCCCGCCGCCTTCCGATGCGCCGCCTGCGACTGCCACCGCAGCTTCCACCGCCAGGAGATCAACGGGAATCACCCAGCAGCTCCACTCCCTCCTCCGCCGCCGCCGCCGCCGCTAGCACTTCCTCATCCGCCGCCGCCGCCGCGCTACAGAGGGAGCACCAGCAGCAGGAACTTCCAGAGCTCCCCTCTGCCTCTGCCTCATCCTCCTCCTCCTCCGCTCCCTCCAGCGGCTCAAAATCACAACCCGCCGGCCGTGATGGTGAGCTTCGGCGACGGGTCGTCGAGCGATGACGTGGATGCGTTGGGGCCGAGCAACGAGGGGATGCAGCAGTCGGCTACGGCGTCGTATTCGAGGAAGAGGTTCAGGACGAGGTTCACCCAGGAGCAGAAGGAGAGGATGGCGGAATTGGCGGAGAGGATCGGGTGGAGGATTCAGAGGCAGGACGAGGCGGGAGTGCAGCAGTTTTGCTCGGAGATTGGAGTGGAGAGGAAAGTGTTCAAGGTGTGGATGCACAACAACAAGCAGCAGCGGAGGCAATAAGTTATTAGACCCTTTCTGTGTTAGGTTAATTTTGTATAGTGCAAGTGGCCGGTGACGGAATGCTGGATATGTGATTTTGTTACCGTTGTCGGTAAACTAACTATTTGAAGTTCATACGACGACGGTAAATCTAATAGCATTTTAGCCTTTGGGTTGTGGTCTTGTGATTGTTTTACCGTTGTACTGTTCTTTGAATGTGGGAGATACAGGCAACATCAAGGGAACAGTGAAATAATTATATCGGAACCCTAATGTCGCGGGTCAGGAACGTGGGTCAGATAGAGATAGGCGTGGGTTACGTTGATTCTTCTCCCCCCACTTTACGGCTACGGGCTATCCCACCATTGCTATGCCATGCGTGGGATTATCATTACTCACCCCCGACCCTTTAATCTGTTTTGTTTTATATTCAAACGCCAAATCTTCATTTATGTAGTAGATTGGGACATGTTATAAGAAACCGTTTGGTCCAGTCAATCGATCTGGAGGACGAATTGCACCAAAAGATACTACATATGAATCACGAAAAATGGGAAAATCCAGTTCCGATCGATCGAGCCACGGATTGCCAACCTTTTCGTCTGCTTCATTCAGTTGTAACCGGAGATCACCATTCGTACAAGCACTCTAGCTCGTTGGGTAAGTAGTTGTCGACATCGGTATATCACAATACGGCAACACAGATAACAGTGCAGGACATAGCGCCGGCCGGAGATCACGAGGAAAATTTCGACACCATCAACACGAATTTCTCAAATAATTATGAACCATCTCATATCAACGACATTAACAGTTCCAGTCGCACCGCCCAATATTCACTTACCAGTTAAATTAACAACATTTCTTATTAGGCAGATAACAACATTCTACTAATTGTTGTAGAAAAACCAAATTTCTAATACCAAATTCAAATTTATGGAACACATACCAAGTTACGACAGTACTTTGACAAGACGCAATACAGGTCAGAACAAGGCGCCACCTCCGCACATATACGTATACATGATGGAGAGAAAGGATTAGAGGTCCGTCGACGATATATATATATAACTAGCTAGTAATTTTGTTTTTTTTGGCCTTACCATAATAAGTTACAAACTAGTTAAAAAGAAATTAAAGCTCATCAGTCGTGCCCTTATTCTTCATCTTATCGCCCGCATCACCGGCGGCCTGGGACACCTTCTCTTTGGCTTTCCCGTACGCCTCCTTAGCATCTTGAGCCTTGTCACCAGCAGCCTGAGATACTTTTTCCTTTGCTTCTTGGGCCTTGTCCTTGGCATTAGCAAGGGTTTCCTTCGCGTCTTGGGCCTTGTCACCAGCCACCTCGGATGCCTTTTCCTTTGCGATTTGGGCCTTGTCCTTGGCATTATCGAGCACTTCCTTAGCACCTTGAGCCTTGTCACCGGCGACGTCGGATGCCTTTTCCTTCGCGTTGTAGGCTTTGTCCTTCGCATTATCGAGCACTTCCTTCGCGCCTTGGGCCTTGTCACCGGCCGTTTGGGCTACCTTTTCCTTTGCGTCTTGGGCCTTATCCTTGACGACACCGAGCTTTGCTTTGGCGTCTTGGGCCTTGTCACCGGCGGCCTGAGACACCTTTTCCTTGGCATCGTAGGCCTTGTCCTTGGCAGTACCCGCTTCCTCGGACATCTTTTCTTGGGCGTATTGGGCTTTTTCCTTGGCATTTCCCACCACATTTTTGGTGTCTTTGAATTTGAACAAGGTTTCGGCGTCTGCCATCTGTACCCTCTCCTGAGAACCCTGGATATTATGCGCGAACAAATTCGAGTAATCATCTTTGCCCTTCTCGCCGGCTGCTTCTCCAACTTTCTTGTCCCTGCCGTCACCACATCAAGTTAATTATATAGAGGGAAAAGAAAATACGTGGAAATTAGATGGTTTAATCTAATCTAATATATATATACACGTACGCGGACAGCTTATTGTTAGCCCAGTCGGTGAAGGACCGGCCGCGTTCCTGAGCGCCTTCCACGGCGTCGCCGGTCTTCTCCTTGGTCTTGTCCCATATCTGGCTGGCGCTGAAATCCCACGCTCTGCACACCTCCACCGCCGTCGTCAGCGCCATCAGCAGAACGGCTGTCGCCATCACCGCCCTCCTCTCACTCATCATCGCCATCTCTCGCACTCAAAACTATGTATTGTATTCACGTTCTCCTTCTCTTTCTTTGCAAATCACGCCGTGTATCGTTGTTTGTTTTTGCAGTACGTACGAATAATATTGGGAGCGACTGATTTTGAGATTGGTCTCATTCTTTCATTTATAGATCAGTTTTTATTCAAACGGAAAAGAGATAATCACGCTCCTCCGTTCCCGCAAGGTGACACGTGTCGATAACTTCCGACCATTGGGTAGACGTGGCGGTTGTGGAGGGGATGAGAGTGGTTACCGGGTGTTTGGTTCTCGACGCGTGTTTTTTATTTAGGAACTACCGAACTAGGAGAGCCGGTTTCCAAGTTGACGCGTGGCTAAAGTTTTCTAGTAAATTTTTGGTCACGACTCACGTGTAATCTTTAGTTTCCACGGTCAAACCTATTCTTTTCCTCCCGATATTTACTTTCGTTAGTTTTATAGAACATCGCCATTCGTTTGTGGTTGCAAAATTGCATCGATGAATGTTTCAACACTAGAATTGATGTGATTTTATCGATATCACAATTAAACTACCATTTAAGTAAAAAAATATCTTGAAATTATATTTATTTGATTCAATCTCTTGTAATTTTAGATTCTTTTGACTATATAAATATATGTGTTTTCAAAGCCGGATGTAATATGCTAAATCGAAAAACTTATTGTTTATGGTTAAGTGGTTAATCACTATAGAATATTGATTAACCGTTGATGGAATCGTTCATGTGTTATAACATAAAATACATATATAATTCACTAGTTTAGGAATGAATTTATCACTACCATATACAATTTTAAATTCATATCATCGATCAACAAAAGTGCTAACAAAAAATTTAAACTATTTAAAAAATCATAACTTTTTTTCCCCGGTAAGTTGACTTTACCATTAAGCACCCTCTTGGCTATAACCAGCACAAGAGCTCGAAAAACACAAAGGCTGCCGCCCACAGTAGTCCTTTACAAGGAATCACCAAAAGAAAACAAACCCCTATTCATCTAAACATTTACAGCAGGAATTGGTTTTACTTAATTGATTCTGAAACTCAGGACGAGCCACAGCAAACAGCCTGACTTCCTCCTCGAGTTGCTCAGCCAACACAACAGCAGCACGAGGCTGTTCACCAAAAATCCATCGACACCTCTCCTTCCACACATCACTAATGCACCAACACCAGATCGAAGCTTCAATCTCTCCACAGCTCCCCTTCTCCCTTACTCTGGCTTCAATTCCCTCCAGCAGTTTAGCCCAACTCCCAGGGAACACAACCCCTTCTCGTAGCAGAGTAGCAATCATCTCCTGCACATAAGCACACTGACAGAACAAATGATCACGAGAATCCTCTACTACACTACAGAACACACATGTACTATCATTTATAACACCCCACATTTTGAGCTTGTCCCTTGTAGGAATTCGGTCATTAATAATCAACCAGACATGCACACTGTTCCGAGGTAAAACAAACTTATTCCAAACGACTTTCCACCAACCTACTCGAGGCTGTCTCCTCCTGATAGTGTCCCATAACAGTTGAGACTGAGTACTTGTCCAATCGCTTACCCAGCCATGTCACACAGTCTTGAGTCACATCCATTCTAAATCTTAACCATGGTCTGACTTTCAAAATTTGCTTCCAGATCGAGGAACCAGATTGTGTTACTTTTGCTTCCCAGATTGAGCCCCCCGGAGTCTGTATCGATATATCCAGGCTACCCAAAAACTACCCCCTGGAGGAGAAGCAGCCATATAAGGCGAGCCAAAGGAGCTACATTCCAAGAAATCAAATCCTTCAACCCGAGTCCCCCTTCTTTCTTTGGCATAACAATAATATCCCAAGCAACTTTTGCTCTTCCTGACTTATCCCCATGCTAGATAAAGTCTGAACAAATTTTCTGAATATTTTTTAGTACCTTCTTTGGTATAAGAAATATTTTCATCCAATAGTGAATCAAAGAGTATAAAACAGACTCTACTAACTGAAGCTTCCCAACATAAGACAATTTATTCGCCCTCCAGCTTCTGACTCTGCTAGTGATCTTATCAATCAAAACTGAGAATTCTCTAATGGATAGCTTACCAGCAAGAAGAGGCAGGCCAAGATACCTCACTGGTAAAACCCCTTCTTTGAACCCAGATATTCTAAGTGCATTCTGTTTGAACTGCTGCGCATAACCCCCAAAGAAGACCTCACACTTATCAGGATTACATTGGAGTCCAGAGAGCTTATAAAAATCATTCAAAATGGATCTCAAACTCTCCAAAGCATACGCTGATCCCTCAGTAAATATTAACAAATCGTATGCAAAACTCAGATGAGTTAATCCCAAGTTCTTACACTGTGGATGGAAAGGTAAAATACCCTTAAGTGCATCCTGATTCAACATGCCAGTAAGGGGCTCCATGACTATGGTAAATAGGTAAGGGGAAAGAGGATCCCCTTGCCTAACCCCCTTAGCAGCATTGAAAAATCCAAACAAACTCCCATGAATAGAAATGCTAAAAGTAGCGGAACTCAAGCAAACATTAATCCACTGCATGAACTTCCGTGGAAACCCCATTTTTGTCATAACCACCTTCAAATACCCCCAGTCAACCGAATCAAAAGCTTTATGAAGGTCAACCTTTACTGCACATCTAGAGGAAATGTTTACTTTTTTATAATTATGCACAATTTCCTGTGCCATCAATATGTTCTCAGCAATGCTTCTACCCTTAATAGAGGCAGACTGGTTCCTACTAATGACAGAAGCAAGCACATTCTTCAACCTATTTTCTAGTACTTTGGAAATGATTTTGTAGATAACATTGATACAAGCTATAGGTCTAAACAAATTCAACTGATCAGCA